AAAATAAGATCTAATTCTCGTCCGTTTAAAAAAATTAGCTTAGAAATAAGTTGATTTTATCGGGTTTTGAGAAGTTAATACTATACTACCTTTTTTAAATGGACGAGAATTAGATATTATTTTTGGCTATGGAGTCCTACAGCTCTAATGAAACCTTATATACACTTTTTTTTTTTTATTTCATTATGATTAGTTTTCGTTTTTTTAAAAAGTACTCTAAATTGTAAAATTAAATTGAATTTATTAGCCAATCAGACAAACTTCTGCCTATGATGTAATATGACAACTGCGAACAATATCATTATATTCATAGAAGTACCGGAACGTACATAGGTTCGGGTTCGAGGCTGGTCACGTTTTTGTATCGGGTTCGAGGCTGGTCACGTTTTTGTATCCCACTATAGTAAATATTTGGGGCAATTTAAAATTGTAAGCTTCTAAATTTCGTCTAAAAATCTCCTCTAAGATGACGTTTGTGTTACTAATAAACACTCAATGCAAATTTTATAATAAGTTGTGTTCATATAATAATAATTACCTTCCGCGGTAAGAATAAGCCATCTTTTCACTGATAAAAAATTCAAGTGATGAACTACAAAATATTAACCGATATTTAGGATCAGAGTCATAATATATATAATTCGAATTGAATTAATTACATAGCTACAAAAATTATTCGTTCATATTTTTTTTTAGGTTCTTGTTTCAGCTGCCACGTTACTACTGTTTTAACCAACATTATGGAAAACGAATCTGTTGAATCCTCATTGGAGGATCAGTATATTGCAAATATTAAGAGCGTCGCTTCTTTAATAGCTTCTCAAACTATCAATTGTAAATTCATTGCCCAAAATGCTAAAACATGTAAGAGCGAGTGTATATCTTTTGCAGGACGATTACAAACTATTGGTGAAAAGACTAAATAAATTTTAAATATAATGGAAAAAGTGGCCAATCGATTATTGGATTGAAGTGGGATTTAAAAGTGGATTGGGGACTGTTAATGGTCCCATTATAATGGATGTCGTATGTTCATACAGAACAACAACTTCCCGTGCGTCCCAATGTAAGTAGCTTAGTGGTGGCGAAAAAGAGCGCAATCACGTGATCTTTGTCCAATAATATAACTACTCCAGTATCGCCACCAAAAAAGTACGGACACGTGATTTTTTTGTGGCACAAACCAATCAGATTTCAAGATCAGGTGTA